GCAAGCCAGGGAAGCCAGACAGTAGTTGCAATGCTGAAGGTTATCAGATGCTGACAACATGCTGGGACCAGCCCCAGGCCAGACCAGACGGGCATCCGGGACTTCTCGGGCCCTTTTCCTCCAGACAAGGCTGGCATGGGCACTGTCAGCATTTACTTCTCTGGCTGACCTTTTGCTTTTCTAATCCCTTGTCAGTCTGGCCCTGCTGGCCTCTGTGTCTTAGAACATCTCTTTGTCTATCCATTCTGGTTGGGCACTACTGAACTTCTGGTTCTTAGGCCACTCCTCACTTGGCTTCCCATTACTGCCTGTAATTATAGAGCCTACCTCTTAGGGTAGTTTTATTGGTTGCATAGTTGCAGCCAGGAAATCAAACAATATATTGTGTTGGGCAAAAGACCTCTTTAAAGTGTTAAAAAGCAAAGATACCACTTTGAGAGCTAAAGTGCACCTGACTCAAGCCGTGGTATTTCCAGTTGCCTCATGCATGCAAAAGTTAAACAGTGACTAAGGCAGACTGAAGCAGAACTGATGCCTTTGAATTATGGTGTTGGTGAAGAATATTGAATATACCATGGACTTCTAGAAGAACAAACAAATCTGTCTTGAAGAAAGTACAGCCAGAATGTTCCTTAGAAGTGAGAATGGCATCTCTAGTGCTTTGGTCATATTCTCAGGGGGGACCAGTCCCCGGAGGAGGATATCATGTTTGGTAAAGTAGAGAGTCAGTGGAAAAAAAAAAAAAAAGACGACGACTCTCAATGAGATGGACTGACACAGTAGCTGAAACAATGGGCTCATATAGCAGCAATTGTGAGGGTGGCACAGGACCAGACAGCGTTTCACTCTGTTGCACATAAGGTCACCATGAGTTAGAACTGACTTGATGGCACCTAACAACAACCATGCTGAGTGCTCTCTTTCTGTTATTTCCTGAGTCTCCATCACCACCCTGAGAGGGAAGGAGAGGCAGCTGAGGCTCAGAGAAATGAAATCACTTGCCAAGGTCACAGAATGAGTAAGTGTTAGAGCTGGGCTTTGGGTCTAGGTTGGCCTGACTCCAGAGCCTGTGGTCTTAGCTACTGAGCAGTAGGGCTCCTACCTGCTGCCCTGCGAGGGTCCCATGAGATAATTGTGTATAAAGCCCTTGGGCCTGCCTTGCAGTGCCACTCAGTGATAGAGTCTTATCCTTTACCAGCAAGTAGCAGTTCTGACTCCGTAGGGCTGCCTACATCACCCTCAGCCCTTCACATCTCCCCAGCTCACCTCCTGCTTGGCTGGTAGAAGCCCACCTACATTTAGAGCTTCTCGTCTTAGATATTAGGATCTCCTCACTATTCCTTGCACAGCTCCACTTAATCCCGTCTCTGAATGTTTGCCCACATGGTGACTCAGCCCAAATGCCCTCTGTGCCATCACCTATCTCAACACCTAACTCTCCCCTTACCCTCTGCTTCCTACCCTATAAGCTGTCTTTGATAATTCCCTGCCCCACTGATCACCAGGTCTCTAAGCTTTTCTGAAAGAAGAGCCTGAGACATGCACTGGCAAAGCTAAATCATGTCCTGCCTGGATGCTTAAGTGTTTCCTGGGCGAGAATCTTCCTCCCATCTCAGCAGTGAGCTCTGTATGGACCAGCATATGTTTTCCCCCTGGGTCCCCTTAATGGCAGGGCCATCCAGCAGGCTCCGCTAGGCTAAGTGACCTGGAGTCTGAGGAGAACCTTGCTTATGTGGCAGGCTGTGCCAGAAGACAAGACGGGGTTCTTGGCCTGTTTCCTGTGGCCCAGCGAGAGAACCATGTTGTTATCCCTGAATTTATGAAATGAAGGATTTCATCATAGATGTAAAAATTACTAATGTTACTTTTTCTTTCTAATTAATTAAACATTATTATTTTTAACCTCTAATTTTTTTAATCATTCATGGAATCTCCAAGTATGGTAGATAACTCAAGAACTACAGCCAAACAGAAAAAAAGGAAAAATAATGACTTATTCCCTTGCCACCTAGAAATAACCATAGTTCATACTTTGCTGATTTTTTTTTTTTTTTTTTGTATCTGCGTAAAAATCTGAATAGGGTCAGTCTAAACAAACTGTTTTGTCTTATGCTTTTTTCACTCAAATATTTTCCATGACATTTTTTACATCACCCTTTTTTTTTTTTTTTTTTTTTTTTCTGTCTAGAGAGTGGAGAAACCATCATTTGTTTAACCAGCCTCTGATCATGGGGTTTTACAGTGGCTCATACCATCCCTTGGATCTCAGCCCTTCTGGCCTGCCTTCTCCTTTGAGGAGATCTTGTTGGGCTTTGCTTGAGGCAGCAAAGTGCAGTGGGAAAAATAATGGACCAGGAGTTAGGATATGAGGAGTCAGGAGGCTATGTGGGGTGGAAAGGGAGTGGGAGGAACCAAAGAATACCTATCTGAGGAAATGACCATCACTCAAGTCTCTTTTGCTCTTTGGGTCTCCCCTGTAAAAAGAAGAAGAAGAAGTAGATTTAAGGATCTCAAAAGACTCTTGCAGTTCCTCTCATCTGTGGTTCTGGAAGCATGAGACATTTGCTGCAGGCTCCGCTCGAGACCTAGGCTGGGGAGGAGTTGGATATTTAAGATTGCTCTCCCGGTTGCTTCCAAGAAGATTGAGGCCCTGGAAAGATTCAGAGATTGTGGGCTGAAAGCAGACCCAGTCCATCTGAGGTAGAGGAGAAGAGTCGGTGTGTCAGACCCCTGTGCTGGGCCCTGAGCCTGTGTGGCTTGTGCTTCTCACAGCAAAAAACATACTGTGGATCCTTCCCCCTCCCTAGGTTTTTTGTTTTGAGCAAAATTAAGTAGGCATTTATTTTAAGGGTTCTTGCCTATATGGGACCTCTGGTGGCATAATGCCTAAGGCATGTGACTTCTAACCAGAAGCCTGGCAGTTCAAACCCACCAGCCTCTCCTTGGAAGGAAGGTTGGACAATCTACTTCCATAGTGATGCCGCCTCGGAAACCCAAGGAGGGGTTGCTATGAGTCAGATCCAACTCCACGGCAGTGAGTTTGGTTTTTTTGGTCTATATGCCTTATCTAGTATAATGACTGATGAATCCTCAAGTGCAGGCTTAGAAACTATCCTAAGCCAAAAGACAAGTCTCAGTTTGACCCCTACTGAGCTCTCCTTGGACTGCTCTTGTTGCTTTGTGTCTTGGCACAGTTGGCACTTATTGTAATGAAAGTGATGGAGAGCCTTTATAAAGTATCGCTTTAAGTTAAACCTATAAAGTCCAGGGTGGTAACATGAGTGGAGAACATTTCTGGATAGAGATGAAGCAATGTGGACCAAGGCCTTTCCTTCCACCTGATCTAACTTCTTCAGAGCACCATCAGTAACAACAAACCTTCTCATCTGTACTCTGAGCTACCGTTTACAAAGCATTGTGCTCATTATCCCATTGGTGGGGATTGAGGATGCTCTGGAGTTGTCCAGGGTCCTAGAGCTCCCATGTGGCTGAGTGGGATACTCAGGGCTCCTGACTTTCCATCCACTGCCCTTTTCTATGGGCTGGCCTAGCCCCCCCTGGAATCCGGGCAGAGAAACTGAAGAATAAAAGGAAGCATGGAGCAGGGGGCCTGGAGCATATGTGTAGCCAAGGTGGATCTGTCCGTCTGCCAATTGGAGGCCTCCCATGGTGGATGGAGGCAGGAAAAGAAGACCTGCCTCGGTCTAATCTGGACTCTTCTCATTTAATATGATAGATTTCAAGGAGAGCCTAGACCCAGAGGTGAAAGGCCCTCCCTATTTCTCTGTTTCCCTAGTTTCAGCTCCAAACCCTTTTCTGAGGATGCACTGATTGGGGTCAGCAGAGATGGGTATTTTTACCCCTCCCTCTTTTTATTTTTCAAATTGTTGTTTAAAATATATATGTTCATTAAAAAAAGAAATTACAAATAATTCCAAAGTGTATAAAGTAAGAAATGAAGTTACTACCTCTTTTATCCTCCCTTGTCCCTAGAGAAATTCCTTTTTCCTTCACCCACTTGTGAATTACAAGCCTCTGTTTGGCGAGTAACCTTTCAGATCCTTTCCTGTATGTGTACAAAGCCAAGGATATGTTGTTGAGCTTATTGTTTTGTTCTTTGAACACAAAAAATGGACCATGCTTTTTATTTCTCTTTCTCTCTCCCTTTCTTCAACTTACTTATTCCAACAGAATATCTGGGTAATGGGTACTTGCTTCTGTCTGAAATTTGATCATCTCCTTCTCCAAGGAGAAAATGATGAGAATAGCTTATTTCAGAGAGAATTCCTCTAAGTTCCTCACTTTTCAGATAAGTCCCAGAGAGGTGAAGTGACTGCCCTATTTGTGGCAGACCCACAGCCTGAGCCCAGTTCTCATGGCTTTTCTATCATCAGGGCTGTGCATTTAAAAAAGTGCCTTCCCGTGGTTATCCCTTTGCAGTCATCCTTCCACCATCCCTGTGAAGTCAGCAGGGCTGCAATTATGGAGGTTTGGGGCATGAAGAGGCTTGCTTGAGTTCAGTGCTGAAAGGGCCTGGAACCCTGGGCTCTTTGGTTGAGTTCAGTTCACTCAGTGTTTACTGAAGGGCTGCTGTGTGCCAGGTGCTGTGGTTGTAAAGACAGCCTGGTGGAGGGCCCTGCCTGGAGGTGGTCACTGGCTGCCCCTTCAGCTCCTGGGGAGTGGAGCTCTCTGGAGAAATTGTCAACATCCCTAAGAAGGGCCTAGATTCTAGATCTGGGCCAAGAGACTGGGATCCCTGAGGAGCTGTGGACACCGGGTGGGAAGGGGGCCTGTGACTTCACTGCTGCCACTCACACCTCACTCCGCATGACTCTCTCCTCATCCTCACTTCCTCTCTCCCTCCTTCTCTCCTTTCTGAGGCTTTGTCTGTCTCCATCTGTCTCTCTCAGCATGTGGTTCCTGCCCCTTTTGCTCTATCATACCATCGCCGTCCCGCTCTCCTGTCACATGCTCTCCTTCATGCCAATGCAGGCGTGCTGGTCACCATGACAACAGAGACAGGCCCTGATTCTGAGGTGAAGAAGGCTCAGGAAGAGGCCCCGCAACAGCCTGAGGCTGCTGCTGCTGTGACTACCCCTGTGACTCCTGCAGGCCACGGCCAGCCAGAGGCCAACTCCAATGAGAAGCATCTACCCCAGCAGGAAACTCGGCCTGCTGAACAGGTATGTGGCCACGAGCACCATGACTGCCCTTGTCAGAGGATGCTCAGCATTGGGCATCCCCCTTCCTGCCCAGCCAGGGCCAGTTCTTAGGGCCCCATTGTTTTCTCAAGAGGGAGGAAGGAAGGGAACAAAGGTTTCCTAATGAGCTGTTAGGGGCTGAGTACTGTGCTGAGGTCATTGTGTTGATTTTAATATTTAATTCTCTCAAACCTAAGAACATAGCTATTGATTTTCCCATTTTACAGTTGGGGAAACTGAGGTCCAGCAACATGAAATGAGTTACCCAAAGTTACATTGCCTTAAAGTGACAGAAGTAGAAGTCTAATTTCTAAAACCTGTGTTCTTTCAAATATATGTTGCTACCCTTTAAGCCTACCCATTCTGTCTTGGCAAACCCAGTATAACCCCAGAGCAAAATTCATCACCCTAAAGTTACAAGGGACTTGAATCATTTAGTAGCCACCTCCCCTTAATTCATGACAGGCCCAGAGAGGGGCAGGGACTTGTCCAAGGTCATTGAGGGAGTCAGTGGCTGAGTTAGGACTGGTGAGCAGGGCTCGGACTCCATGTCCTTCATTAGATCAGTCTATAAACTCCCAGCCTCATGCTGGACCCAGTGACAAATGAGACAAGGAGGAGACCAGATGGATTCTCTGATAATTTACTCACTGTCCTGAGGAGACAAGACAGCTCTGACCACTGGGCAAATTTAGTTTTGTGGGATACCTTACAGTGCCTGGGAAGAAGTGGACTCCTCACATAAGTTGACCTCATTGCACATGGAAGCTCTGGCTCTCCCATATACACCACCCATACAACCTGGTTGTCCTGTCAGCTTTGGAGGGCAGGCTAGTGCCTCTTGTTTTGGTTCCCATCCAGTTCCAATTGCCTTCTTATTGCTTCTCATATGTATGAAAGGCCATAGTTTCAAGCTTGCTAACCAAACTCTTCCCTTGGTTGAACCTACAGAGCCTAGACATGGAAGAGAAGGACTATGGTGAGGCTGATGGCCTGTCAGAGAGGACCACACCCAGCAAGGCTCAGAAATCACCCCAGAAGATTGCCAAGAAATATAAGAGTGCCATCTGCCGGGTCACTCTGCTCGATGCCTCTGAGTATGAGTGTGAGGTGGAGGTAGGGGAGTACTCAGCACCTGGCTGGCTGGCCTCAGAGGACCAGGGCAGGCTTCTATGTGTACTCAGCCTGGACAAGCCCAAAGGGCATCCATTCTTCATGTAGTCCTGGACTGAATTCACGATCCCTGTAGAGATGACCTGGCTAGTCCTCCTTTGTACAGATGGCAGCACTGATGGCCAGAGAGGACTGTTACAATTGTAAATAAAATTAGACATGGCACAGGGCTGGTGCCAGGGAAAAGCTTCTCAGGGTGGCCATACCTTGGCAAGGATGCTACCATCCAAGCACTATCTGCAGCCCAGTGAGCAAGCTCAGGCCTAGGACCTGGGCTTTTCTATCTCACCCAGCAGAAACTGATGTTTAAACTAGAATCAGTTATTTCTTGAGTGGAAAGAAGGGTCCTCCTTTTCTTGTGAACCCCATAAGTCATCCAGGGCACCACCTATAGTTGCTAGGCCAAAGAAGTCACCTGAGAGTTCCATGATAAATGTATGATCCAGGGGTAGGGAGGCAGCCCGGCGGGAGACGCACTCACCCAGGCTATAGAGAAACCCTGGTGGCAAGGGCCTGTCCCACTGTGGGTGCCAGGGCAGGTGCTTCCTCTCTAGGGTGGGCCATCTGGCCCCACATTTATGGTCTTCTTTTTCTATGTAGACTCAGACCACACCCTAATTCTGAACTTCACTTGCCCTTCTGGGAGCCCTTTTAATACCTGTGTTCAGTTTTGAAGGGATGTGCCTTATTTCTGAGCCTTGGGAGGCTGAGTCCCACTTCTCTGCTGATTTTTGTTTGTTTGGTTTGGTTTGGGTTGTTTTTGTTTGTTTGCTTGCTTCTTCTATAGAAGTGTTGCAGAGTGAATACTTTCTTTACTGTATTCCGGGGCCAAAAGAAAGAAATGCCTTCTTACCTTTTCCTCCTACCCAAACTGCCCCAAGACTCTGTTTCAGCCTGGCATAGAGGGTTTGCCTGAGCCTAGGTCCACTCTCTCTGATGGACTTCACCAGGCTCAGAGATTAGCTGACTTCCTGAAACTACTCTCCACAGTCAGGCTGGTCCCAGGCCCTGGTGACTTAGCCAGACCTGACAAGGACCTCATTCTCTCTCCCTCTCTCTCTCTGGAGTCCCCTACCTCTTTGGGTAATAACTCCCTCACATTCCCCCTGCCCTGTGATCCATTTATTGGTACTCATCTTTGTACGTCTGGAGTACCCAGGCAGGTTCTGAATTTTGACATTCTGCACCCTCAGGAATAGATGGTGGTTCAGAGAGGTACAAAGCCTGGTTAGGGATGGGATCGGGGGGAAGGTACATCTTGTTGAGGCTGATTTTAGCCCCCTGAGCCTCGTTAAAAGCCCCACCACCTGCCAGGTAGGGGTGACACTCTTGACTGGGCTGCCCTTAATTTTATTCAAATTTAGTGGAAGGGAGGGAAGTGGCTGGGAAAGGAGAGTCTACTTGGACTCTGAGTCCCCGTCCCTCCTCTTCCCCCTCCCCATGCTTCTCTCATATTTCCAGGAAGCCTTTTTTCCCCCTCATACCCAAATCTTAGAGCCTTAATTTTCTGGTCCTTGGGATAAAGTTAGCCTCCTATAATTGCTAATGGAAGAAGAATCAGTCACATCCCACACCCCCATCCCAGCTTCCTCCCAGCCAAGTCCAAGGTCTGGAAGGACCCCAGCAGAGTTTGGAAGAAGTTAGTTGATGGGCTGAGTATTAGTGTCACATACCCCCTCTCCCAGGATCCCTTTGGACTTGGAGATCAGAGTTGGGGGGGTTGCGTGTTTGTCAGGGGGCTGGTGGCAGAAGTGCTAAGGCCCTCTCTAGACCCTGTAAGACTCTTGGGGGATTTCTCAAGTTGTCCTGGTGGAGCATAGGGTATCTCCCTGCCCCACCCTAAGGTGTATTCTGACCTCACAGCAGCTCTAATCTCCTCTTTAGAAACATGGCCGGGGCCAGGTGCTGTTTGACCTGGTCTGTGAGCACCTCAACCTCCTGGAGAAGGACTACTTTGGCCTGACCTTCTGTGATGCTGACAGCCAGAAGGTACTTGGGCTAAGGACCAGAACTGGGCAGGAAAGAGTTGCTGTGGGGGTTAGACCTTCTCCTGTAGACTCTATACTCTTGGCCCCATCCCATGACTTCCATCAGTCCTCAGATCTTCATTAGGCACCTACTATTTGCATGTACTCAAAGTTTAGCCAGCCCTATCCATCTCCCAGTTCTTTGCCTCCCTCCTCAGTCTACTCCCCATGGCTGTTACTTCCTCTCTTTCTTGGTGACCCATAAGTCACCTCCAGATGGGTATTTAGAGAGCTTAAATTTAGCTGCTTAAAGGAGTTCTGGTAGCATAGTGCCTAAGGCATTTGACTGCTAACCAGAAGTTTGGCAGTTCAAACCCACCACCTACTAGGAGGAAGGAAGACTGGGCAATCTACTTCCATAAAGAATTACTGCCTCAGAAACTCAAAAAGGGTCACTATGAGTCGGAATCGACTCGATGGCAGTGAATTTGGTTTTTTTTTTTTTTTTTGTTACCATGCTGCTTGAGTTGCCTGGAGTCACTGAGGCACTTCCACCCCAAATGCCTCTTCCCCACCTTTGGGAAGCTCTTGCCTGAGTTTCCTCCTTTCCACCAGTTCCACTGCAGCTGCATGATTTCTTCACCTTGGCTGCCTCAGGGCAGTGACAGCCCCGGGACACCAAGTCCCAAGCCCTGTGGTGAATCCAGGTTTTATTCCCCTCACCTTCAAGTCCCAAGGAAAAGGTGCCGGAAAGCTCAACAGGCAAGGATGCTCCCCACTAGGAGCTGTTGATAGGCCCATTTTGGAGTGTTTCCCCTAGCCCCATCTGGGCCTTCTTCTCCATCTTCCCCCTAAAGAACTCTATCTTCTCTTTCAGAACTGGCTGGACCCCTCCAAGGAAATCAAGAAGCAGATCCGGAGTGAGTGGCTTGCTGTGGTTGGAGATGTGGTGGTAGGGAGCTGGGGCTCCAGGCCTACAATGGCCTGTAATGTAATGGCTGTAATGCTCCTGTCTGCTTTGGAAAGTATATTCAGATCCATGAGTTCATTTGTTTCACATATCAGATCTCGGGAGAGACAGACTGTTGTTGTTGTTGTTATATGCCGTCGAGTCAGACCCGACTCATAGCGACCCCTCCTTGGGTTTCCGAGGCAATATCACTACAGAAGTAGATTGCCCCATCTTCCTTCTGAGGAGTGGCTAGTGGGTTTGAACCACAAGCCTTTTGGTTAGCAATGAAGTGCCTTAGGCACTATGCTACAAGTATTTACCATTGTTTCATAGATGAAAAGTCTGAGGCCCAGAGAAAAGAAATCACATAGTCACATGGAAAGTTAGCAGAGAAATCATATACTTATTCAGAATCTCAGCCCTAGCAGGAACCACAGAAGTATCTAGGAAAAAGGGTACATAGGTGGCCTGAACATAGCCACTCACCTCTTCAGGGCTGATGCAGACATCAGTATTCAATGACACTTTACTGAACCTCAGAATTCTTGTCTACACAGCACTCTAGGCCACTGCCAGTGGATAAAACCACACCAAACTCACTGCCATCGAGTTGATTCTGACTCATAGCAACCTCTTTTGGGTTTCCGAGGTGGTAAATCTTTATGGAAGTAGATTACCCAGTCGTCCTTCTGTGGGGTGGCTGGTGGGTTTGAACCACCAACTTCTGGTTAGCGAATGCCTTAGGCAGGTATTAAATATCAGGTGAAAGCTGTTCCCATTGCTGATCTTGGCCAACTCTTGTCCTTAGAGATGGGGTGAGAGGCAGTTATTGGCCCAGTGTCACAGAGTGAAACATTGGCACAGTCAGGCCCTAAGTCCTGGCCTCCTAACACTACCCTATGTTCTTCTCAAGACCTGGGGTAAAGGCAGATAAGCTGGTCAACAACCTGTCCTTTCTGGCCCAGAGAGAAAAGCCCTGTTGGAAGGGATGAGGCAGTGTTCAAATGGCAGAAGGTGGAGGTAGGTGGTCTCAGAACAGGGGTGTGGAGTAAGTAGAGACCTAGAGGCAGAAATGCCTCCACTGTGAGCCCTCCCCCTGCTGTGGTTGGTCTCCCCTGGACTCCCTGGTCCCCTAGCTGGAAAGCTGTGGCTGAGCCTGTTGCCATGACAGCAGGCAGCTGGGCCCAGGGATGCCAGCTGACTCTGCGGGAAGGGCCTTGAGGAATTCTTCCCGTAGGTTCCTGTCAATTGGAGACAAAGAGGCAGGCACACAGACAGAGCATACTCCTCTGAGGTTGACAGAGTCCTGGGCCTGGGCTCCAGGCTGTCCCTCAGAAGCCCCAGGCCAGCTGGGAGGCCTACCTCTCATGCCTGGAAGAATTGGAACACATACAGACAGCTGAGTGTGCAGTGTTTGATAAGAACCAAGGATTTGGAAAAAGAGAAACAACTAGACAGAATCATAAGGCCTCAGCCTCCCTTTCCAGGGCAGCAAGCCTGTCCCTTTATCTTCACAGCCCCTGTCAGCACCACACAGGCTTTGTGACTTTAAGTCACTGAGGTCATCTTCGTGGGCCACTTCAAGTCCCTGAGGAACAGCCCTGATCTTTAGCAAATGCCTTCTTCAGTAGAGCTGCAATCGCCATCATACCCCTTTAACTCGTACCCATTCATCCCAGTTCTGCCTTCTGGGGTCCCAATGGAGCCGTTTTTTTACCCCCTTTCTCTTCTTTGTGTTAAATCTTCAGTCTTTTGAAGGTAGCACCATAAGTCTGTGTCCTAGACTTCAAATTTGGATATACTTACTCCCAAACCTTGACACCCATCACGTAGGGTTGGACGAGGTCCTCCACCTGTCTTGGCCCCTGCTGCTCCCCATCAAGCCTCAGGAGGGAGGTGTAACAGTTAAATGACGTATATATGGACAGCCCCCGATACACAGCAGATGCTCAGGAGACACTGTTTTCTTCTCCTTGCTTCCCAAGACAGCGGGGTGGTTAAGACACTGGGGCCTGACTGCCTGCATTTGAATCCTGGCTCTGCCACTACTTCCTGTGTTATGTAACTGTTCTGTGTCTCAGTTTCCTTATCAGTGTATTGGGGGTAATGATAGTTCTTACCTTTAGGATTGTTGTGAGGATTAAATGAGTTGTTATGTATAAAGTGCCTATAATAGTGCCTGCACAAAGCAGCACCTAATGTATATTGGCTATTATTATTATTGCTGAGACACGCACTGTTTGACTTGAGACTGCTTTTTCCTTGGTGTCAGTTGTGGTCATGAACCTGGGCTTTGAGGTCAGATGACCAAGGTTTGGATCTCCATTCTGACTAGCTCATTGACCCTGGGAATGTGATTAACCTCTCAGAATCCTCATCTATAAGAAGGAAAATCTACCTTAGGATGACTGGGAAGATTAAATTCCTATAAATGCATGTCAAGTTCTTAGCAAAGTGACCAAAAAACCAAAAATAGTAATAATAAAAATAAAGGAGGGAGGAGCTTTGGTGGCATAGTGCCTAAGGCATTTGACTGCTAACCAGAAGGCTGGCAACCAGCACTTAGTAAATATTCAGTACATGACAGCTATCTGGTGAAGATGGTGATGACCATAGGGACAAGGATGGCAGTGACAACATGGCCTTCAGACCCTTAGTGACTATAGCCATGCCCTGGATCTGGTCTTCCTTTGTCAGGGACCTTTTTAGAACATTGCCAGTGAGTGGAATCCGACTCATAGAAACTCCTCCTTGGATATCTGAGGCAATATCTCTAGGGAAGTAGATAGCCCAGTCTTCCTTCTGAGGAGTGGCTGTTGGGTTTGAACCACCAGCCTTCTGGTTAGCAGTCAAATGCCTTAGGCACTGTGCCACCAGAGCTCCCATTTTTAGGACATAGAATCTAAAATATGCCAGGATTCTGGGAGTGGTCTGACCATAGTGGAGTCGAAGGTGGGGGGGGGGCTTTGCTTTGGATTGTGGATTTACATTAATTTTGCCCAAGGCTCATGCCTTCTCTCTCTCTGTCTCTCTCTTCCCCTTTCCCCTTCTCTGCTAAACTTCCCCTCTTTGTCTTCTCCTCTTTTTCCTCTCCCTTTCCTTCTTTCCCCTCTCCTCTTGCCATGTCCATCCTTTTTCTTAAGCAGTCATTCCCTTCTGTTGGCTTGCAGAGCTTGTTTACAGTTAAAATTTTAGCTTTTATTGTTATCTATACCTCACTACGGGAGCCCTGGTAGCATAGTGCCTAAGCACTTGACTGCTAACCAGAAGGCTGGTGGTTCAAACCCACCAGCCACTCCTCGGAAGGAAGATGGGGCAATCTACTTCCGTAGTGATACTGCCTTGGAAACCCAAGGAGGGGTCGCTATGAGTTGGGTCCAACTTGACGGCACATAACAACAACAACAACAACATACCTCACTACAAGTTGCCATTGGCTTTTCACATCCAAATGCAGAGATTAGCATTTATCTCTGTGAAGTATCCTTTCCTTACTTTTGGCCTATCCTTTTCACCTTTTGTTGTTGTTGTTGTTGTGATGTGCCATCCTGGAGTTGGACTCCATTCATGGCCACCCCTCCTTGGGTTTCCGAGGCAGTATCACTACAGAAGTAGATTGCCTAACCTTCCTTCCGAGGAGTGGCTGATGGGTTTGAACCACCAGCTTTCTGGTTAGCAGTCAAGTGCCTTAGGCACTATGCTACCAGAGTTTCTTTTAGGTTTCTTTTATAATCCAATGCTGGCTTCTGGACATAGAGTTGACATATATAAAACAGTGCTTGTCAAAGTGTGTTCTGAGGAAGCACTTCTGTGAAAAAGTCACAGCAGGTCAGATGACTTTGGAAACTCTTGAACACCATATCTTCTTTAAAGTATTCCAATGCACAGTACACAGTGAATAGAGTACAAAGCTCATTTAACGTGGCACTTTACATACTTCTTTTCTTCCTGTTAACATTCTGTGGCTTAGACTTTTGTGTAGAAGAAGGAACTGGGGCCCTGGAGCCAGATGATCTGGCCTTGAACCCCAGCGTTGCCACTTCATAACTACATAACCTTGGGTTGGCCACTTTACTGCTTGGGCCTTAGTGTCTCCTTGCACAAAATGAAGATACTCATAGGAGTAAACAAAGTTTAGGGAAGCGATGTTTGTAAAGTAATTAACTGTCAATTTTCTTTCTACCTTCTTTTCTACTGCTAACTCACTAGTCTCAACCTGGGCCTCAGTTTCCGCTTCTGTTAAGTGGGGATAATGTTCCAGCCTAACCTCCCTGTTGGCTTGTCCAGAGATTATAGATATAAGACTTTGAGGGACTCCATTCAGCTTTCTGTACTGTGTACATGCTGATGGTTTCCCTCACCCTTGATCTAAGGCTTAATAAAAGTGTCTCTATTGAACCTGTTTGGAAAAAAAAGAAGACTTTGAAAAATTGTCCATAGGATGGTGCATCTGGGCTACCCACTGGGGTGATAGGGCCTCTTTGATCTCTCCCCCATCTTCTCATAGGTAGTGCCTGGAATTTTGCCTTCACAGTCAAGTTCTACCCCCCTGATCCTGCCCAGCTGACAGAAGACATCACAAGGTGAGGGTGGTGGAGGGAGGGGGCAGGCATACTAGCTGCATATGACCATGAATGAGGGCACCTGGCCCTGGGAGACCCTGGACTGTATATGACAACAGTGGCAAACTCAGATCCCTACAGGCAGGCAGCATCAGTGAAGCAAGCAAGCAGTGCAGACACAGTGGTCAGTGGCAACTGACCCTTGACCTCAGAGGAAGCATATCACAGGGAGCAGACCCCATCTAGAGTAACAGCTGTTCAGCTCTGGGAAGTCACTGTCATGATGGAATCAGGAGCCTTCATTGACGAGCAGCTAGAAATTTGGGAGTGAAAACCACAGTTGTTAAATATATCTGCAACTAATTCAAACTTTTAAAAGGCATCTGTGGGCCATCTCTGATGGGACAGACAAAGCAGTGTGAAGGGTGATGTGCTAGGTAGCGTGCAGGTGCCTTTGCACATGGCGTGTGGTCTTACATGTCACTCTTGTGCACACGTCAGGCATGTGGAGGGTAAATGAGGCTTGTAAACCCCCCATGAAGGCACACCTGGGCTGCTGGGGTAAACATGGATTGCATAGTCTCATTATGCTTCAGAAGGCCAGAGAGATCAGAAGAGGGTGCAGAGTGGCTGCAAGGAGGCTATACCCTGGGGAGGGACAAGCATCCTTCAGCATAGAAGCTTCCATGGGGTTCATTCTGCCTCTGAAAACCAGAATGGCGTGAAGCCCTTCTATTTATCTAATCTTTCCCAAAGAAATAGTCTTACTTCATGGTATCCCAGGACTGTCATCTGTATAAAGGGCTTTACATGCCCTCCAGCCATAAGATTGGTGGGCTTGGAGTTACTTTGCTCAGGGGAGGGGCTTCTAAGCCAGCCTCCATCTTCCACTAGGTCCTTCATCACTGTCAGCTGCCAGTTTGCCAAGCAACAGGCCAAGATCACAATGCCTTGGGAGTAAGGATACTCCTGGGACAGATCAGGCCCACCATGAGTCAGAATTGTTTTTGGTTTGTGTTTGTTTTTAAGCCTTAAGGTCATCAGCTTGAGGCCAAATGGCAGCAGCAGGTTCTGAAGTCCATTCCCAAGAAGACTGAGAGCTTTAGACCAGCACAGCCCCCATCCCTCACTCTGACAGCTGTACCAGTGGCTCTGGCCTTGCCCACCAGTGCCTCTGTTGGCACCAGTACCTGGGTACCAGGCTTTCAGAGATACCAGGAGGGAAGTTAACCCTGCCTAACTTGAATGGCCTCAGGGGGACAGAGTGGTCATGGCAGCTGATTTTGTCAAACATAGAGCAAAAATAAATTGGCCCAAATGACAAAATGAAAGGTTGGTCTGAGTGTTTGACAATGATTTCTGAATTTTTGGACTTTTAAGTGAAAGGCCCGTGAGCCCACACCTTTCTTCCTGTGATGTTTAAGCTGCTGGTGTTGAGTCTGAGCCTGTGCTGTCCTTGAGCAGACACTGAGGCTGCACGTACTTTTTGCCAGACCTTCAATTCTGATTACGAAGTAATGTCATAGAGCAGTAAAAATTATGCTAAGTCAAAGCCACTTAAAAGGAGAAGAAACAGGCAATTGAAAAGAATGGTGAAACACAGCCAAATGGGCAAGGAAGCATAACTGGCTAAAAGTGAACTGAGACATTTTCTTAATACAAAATAGCTGAAAAAAGCAATAAAAATTGCTTTAAATGGTTCTAAAACTTGTAAAATCATCCAAGTGTGCATAAAAGTGATAAAAAATCATGATCTGGTGGTTGGAAATGTTTCTTTTAAGCCAATTTGCTTTTAGACAATTCACTTAGAAGCTGGGGGCAAATAAAAAAGTCTAGGTAATGCATTAGCAAACAGGTCCACATGGGCTGCGGACCACAGTGCAGAAGGTAAAGGGATGAGGCAGAGCTATGTGTACTGACCTGGAACGGCTGTAAGACTCATAAACGGGTGTGAAAAAGCAAGCTGTAGAATCAGATGTAGGATTGCATACCACTTACATGTTCAAAAACACCCTTATATACACATGTATATACTTACATATATATATAGTATATATATACAGACTGGTGAAACCCTTGAGACTGTGGCCCCCAGTTACCCTTCGGGCCTAGAGTAGAACTCACTCCCAAGGCTCCCAGCCAAACAATAGACAAACATATAAGGTGAACATTTATATCAGGTAGGTACACTCCTTACAATAACCAACCATTAAAAAAAAAAAAAAAAACCCTATATACATCTCTGTATGTCTAGAGCACCTCACCAATACCAACGGTGACTTCTGGGGAGAGGACTAGGAATAAGAATGGGCATCAAAAGGAAATTTAGAGTCATCTCTAAAGTTTTCATTTTATCATTTAAAATACGTGAACTTTAAAAAAATGGTCAAACCAGCCAGGGAGTCCTCCTACTTAGCTGAAAATTAGTTAAAAGAAGGTCACTATGCTCCCAAAGTAGGAAAGATTGCTCAAACTAAAAATTGAACACAAATACTTAAAGTCATGTAAAATATTACAGAACTATCCCAGGTACATGCCTGTTCACACACACACCCACATGATCAAGACATGAGATCCTGTAACTAGGAACATCCCTTTGCTGCTTAGCTGTGTATGGACCAGTTTGGTTCTGATGGGTTGGTGGGCGGCCATGTTTGGGGGATCTCGGGAGGGAGTGGGGCCCTATCCCATGCTCACTCTCCCCTGTCTCCAGATACTACCTGTGCCTGCAGCTGCGGGCAGACATCATTACAGGCCGGCTGCCCTGCTCCTTTGTCACACATGCACTGCTGGGCTCCTACGCTGTGCAGGCGGAGCTGGGTGACTATGATGCCGAGGAGCACGTGGGCAACTATGTCAGTGAGCTCCGCTTTGCCCCCAACCAGACCCGCGAGCTGGAGGAGAGGATCATGGAGCTGCACAAGACATACAGGTGAGAGGGCCTCATCCCAGGGCCTTCGCAGACTCCTCGGCTGGTTGGCTATAACCTTCCCTGCAGCCCTGAAGGTTGAAGATCCCTAGATGCTGTGCTGTATGAACCCACCTGGCTTTGCCCTTAACCTGACATGGGTCTGAGGGCCAGTCTCCTCGTCTTGCTGAGTCTCTGTCATGTAACCACTCTTTAGTTAACCTACCCACTGCCATCAAGTTGATTCTAACTTATGGTGACCCTATAGGACAGAGTAGAACTGCCCCATAGCATTTCCAATGCTGTAAATCTTCACAGAAGCAGACTGCCTCATCTTTCTCTCACAGAGTGGCTTCAAATTGCTGACTTTTTCATTAACAGTCGAATGCCTTAACCACTGTGCCACCAGAGCTCCTTATTCTTCAGTTAGATCTTCAGTATTTCTTATTTCAAATACATTCGTTAGTTCAGCTGTTTGGATTAGTTTATTCACTCCCAGCATAAACATCTGTTGTTCAGGCTTATATCCAACAGGACTGGAGAAAACAAACACCAGGATGTAAAGCTCGTCATCAGTGTGTGGCTGTGATAACTACACACAGTGAAGTGAGGGTGTCCTTAAGGTAGTTCATCTTTCAGTTTATCTGGTGAAAAGTTATCAAGCTCCTCATCCAGTACCACCAGGCGTTTGTCTTTGTCAATCTTCACTATAATGGCAGCATTGTTTCCTTCTGTTTGAAAACAGAACTGTTAGGTTTTCCACTAAATCTTTAGCAACATCACAAACTATGAAAGATTCACTCGTTTTTCTTTCAGCTGTCAGTCAAGTTCCTGTCAGATAGGAACGAAGCAGCCTACTCTGTGACCTTAAATGACCCTTTGGGCCTCAGTTTCTTTAGCTCCTCTATGGGTATAATAATTCCCTGTCCTTGGTTGCTAAGGACTGCTGTCTTTATCTGCCAAATAAAGATAATAACTATCGTGTGTCTCTGGCTAAATGTTCTGATGTCCAGATCTTGGCATAAAGTTAGAAAGTTTTGGACTCCAAAGCCAGGCTTCCTGGGTTCAAATTCTGGCTCTGTCACTTTCTAGGATCTTGGGCAGGTCATTTCACTTCCCTGTGCTTTAATTGGAGCTCTGGTAGTATAGTGGTTAAAGCATTCAGCTGCTAACCAAAATATTGGTGGTTCAAACCCACCAGCTGCTCCGTGGGAGAAAGATGAGTGTCTGCTCATAAATCCCATAAGATTTACAGCCTTGGGCAGTGCTAAACTGTGTCCTGTAGAGACTCTATGAGTTGGAATCGACTCAACAGCAATGGGTTTGGTTTTGGTTGGGCTTGATGGTTTGAACCCACCCAGTAGGGCCATTGCAAGAAAGTCCTGGCAATATGTTTCCATAAAGATTACAGCCTTGGAAACCCTACAGGGCAGTCCTACTCTGTCCTATAGAGTTTCTGTAAGTTGCAGTTGGCTCGATGGTAATGGTCATGCTTTAATTTTCTCTTCTATTCAGTGTGAGTCCTAAAGAAACCTACCTCATAGGGTTGTCAGGAGGATGACATATTAAGGGCACACCATGTTAGCTATTACTGATGCAGTCCGAATTGAGGGGCTGACTAATTGATTATGGAGTGAAAGAACCTTGTTTCAGGAGTTAGGAGATATTTAACTAGATGTGTGGTTATGGACTGCTTACTTTTCAGAGCCGTATTTTCACATTTATATGGATGGCCTTAGATTTTCAGTGTTTGTTAACTACTGGTATGTGGGACAGGAGAATTCTATATTATGCAGGATATTTAGCTTCCCTGGACCAGGTATAAGATATTCATAACACCTGCTCTGTCACTGTAACAGTGAAAATCTACCCCCCTACACCCGTTTCCAAATGTCAGCTATGAAGGTGACACCACCCTCTGAGAAGAACCCTGAAACCAAATGATCTCTAGGGTCCTTTTAGTCTGGAAGTGCTTTGGGCACTAAGTCCAGGGCTGTTAGGGGAATTCAGTGTGATAAACGACGTGAAAGTGTATTCTAAACTGTTAAGTGCTGTGCGTGTGGAAAGGAATATAGTGCTATTATCTCACTATACCTCACTGCTAATGAAGATGAAGGGAGTGAAGAGGGCTGTGTCCTGTGGGCTGCACCTGGAGTAGTGATCCAGGGCCAGATGTTGGAGGATCATGTAGGTGGGGCGGTTAGTAGTGTCTGCTATGGTATTGATTGGTTAGTAGTGTCTGTTGTGGTATTGTGTTGAGTCAGATACTGGGACTGTAGAGCTGGTTAGCAATGTCCTTCTGAGCTAGGAATGGGGAGTGGTGACCTGCCTGCCATCTGTTTGTCATCCTTGTCCTGGGTAGCAAGATGTGTTAGGGATTTGTGAGTCATAGTAAGTCAGAAAGAAGTTCTCGTCAGTGTGGGCTGGAGAAATGCTAATGGCCATCCTTTTGCTTTATATAAGTCTTATGACTTATACAGCACATTGGCATCCTGTGTCTAGGTATCCCACACAGAAGTTCAGTGAGGTCAACAGGGCAGAAGAAATCGAGGTCCAGAGAATATAAAAGACAGATGTAGTGAAATGATTAAGAGCATGAACTCTGGAGCCACATTGTCTAGATTCAAATCCTGGCTCTGCTAATTAATAGCAGTGTTCCTGTGGGCAAGTTATATAACCTCTCTGTGCTACAGGTTTTTTGTTTTTTTTTTTAATCTATAAAATGGGAATCACAATAATGCCTACCTCATAGGATTGTTAGGAGGTTTCAATGAATTAATACATGTCATGTGTTTAGAACAGTAACCAGCATGTAGTACTCAATAATGTTTGCTATAACTGTATATAGAATTTACTCCAAGTTTCCTGGCAGCCAAAGTAAAAAAAGGCCTTGAATAATTACTTAAGTCTTCTTTTCAGAAAGGAGAACATGACCCATTCCTCAGCAAAATTAAGTGGTTTCTGATACTAAATTCTGAGAGGAAGGATCTTATACAAGAAATAATTTAACAGCAGCTGGGTGGTTATAATGAGCAATGTCTTCAACATTGGTTTCACAGTCATGGAGAAGCAGAATTCATGGCTCACACTTAACTCAGGAGCACAATGAGGCAAGAATCCTAACTCCCAGCTTAGCCCTCGAATGCTTTCTGGAGGAAACAAACCTGAGCCTAAGCTTTGACAGAAGACAGGGCTTGGGTGGACTGAAGGAGGGGGCTGGAGGTGTACTATATTGCACTGAGGGCAGAGGGGAGGGATGGAGGAGGCCCAGCTACATGCCTGCTCCAGAATTTTTGCCTTCCTAGAATCACAAGTTCTGATTGCAGCTACCCTCAGCCAGCAAGACTGGGCTTTTCCCATATCCACCTGTGATCACTTTCTTTCCCTCAGGGGCATGACCCCAGGAGAAGCTGAAATTCACTTCCTAGAGAATGCCAAGAAGCTTTCCATGTACGGGGTAGACCTGCACCATGCCAAGGTACCACTGGTGGCTGGGCCAGGGGATAGCCTAGCTGCTTGAGGGTCCCAGGGTTTCTCTAATCTGGGTTGTGTCCCTGATAAACTACCAGATCATTCAGAGGCTTGGTGTGCCTGACTCCGTGTTATCTCCAAATTGAAGCCTTTTCTATTCTTATTTCTCATTCCTAGAAAAAGTATTCCATAACTCCTTGTTTTCCCATGATCTTTATCATTTTCCCTTGTATTATATTTATTCACGAATCATCTGCTTATGCTATCATTAGATTGGGAGCAACATGAAGGAAAGACATAGGTTTAATTTATTTCTGTGATTCTAGCACCCAACAAATGACCTGGCACCAAGTGTTATTGTTGTTGTTATGTACCATTGAGTCAACCCAATTCATAGCGACCCCTCCTTGGCTTTCCAAGGCAGTATCACTACGGAAGTAGATTGCCCCATCTTCCTTCTGAGAAGTGGCTGGTGGATTTGAACCGCCAGCCTTCTGGTTAGCAGTCAAGTGCCTTAGGCACTACACTACCAGAGCTCCCTGGCACCAAGTATGAGCTATGGCACCAGTAAATGTTTGTTAGATGAATGAATGAATGAGTGATTAACAGACTAAATGATGGAACAAGTCAAGTGTATGGATTATATAACTGAATTAATGAGTGAATGACTGAATGAGTAGGTGAGAGATTAGTCAGTGGGACTACAGTCTGGGAGCCCTAACAACATGGGGGCTCATTGCCAGCAGAGCTCAGGGAGGGACTTTGGGGGTGGATGGCAGGTCTATCCCTAGGCTTGGACCTTGGGCCTCTCATTCCATGGTCCCTTTTCATGCAGGACTCTGAGGGCATTGACATCATGTTAGGTGTCTGTGCCAATGGCCTGCTCATCTACCGAGACCGGCTGAGAATCAACCGTTTTGCCTGGCCCAAGATTCTCAAGATATCCTATAAGAGGAGTAACTTCTATATCAAGATCCGGCCTGGGGAGGTGAGCCTGTCTTGGGGGCCCCTTCTCCTCTCTGGAATTGGCTGGAACAGTGGACTGATAACTGGGCCTGGGCTTTCTTTTGTTCTGGATACATGGAGAGAGAGTGCTAGTGTTCTGTGTAAGGCAAAATCCTTCTTCTGTTGTGACTCTACATAGACTTCAAACCTTAGGTATGTGCATGTGAAGACACTCAAACACACATGCACACACATACTCATGAGAACATAAATACAAAGATAACCACATATATTAAGGCTACACAGATAAATGTGTTCATGTTCATGTATGTGTATTTTTACATGTACATACTCAAATATGTACATGCACTAAGCTACACAATTACTACACACACAAAGACACATACCGATACAAACATGTAAATGTCTTCACCTCTTTTCTTTCAATTTCCATATCTTACCCATCAAGAGTCCATTTAGTTTTACCTCTAGAATAAATGTGAACTTACCTACATCTCTCCCTTCACACTATACCAACCATCAATAGCCACCACTTCTCACCTACAGCATCTCTACAATGTCCTTCTCTCTGGTCTCCCTGCCTCCATGGTTGCTGCAGGCTTGCTCTCATAGCTGCCAAAGAGATCTTAAAAGTCCCTTAAATCAGATCATGTCAAAACACCTCCATCAACACTTCTTGATTAAAGCTTGTAAGAACTCCCTTTAGCTCTTGGGCCAAAGTCCAAACTCCTTCTTTGGCCACCTACCTCTCTCACACATCTCTTTCCATACCTTCCCATGCCCATTACAGTCCAGCCCCTCTGTCCTCTTTGAGATCTTTGAATAAGCCAAGCCCTTTCCCACCCAAGCCCTTTGCACTTGCTGTTCCCTGTACCTGAAATTCTCTTCCTGTCTTCTTACTTAGCTGGTTACTTCTCCATCCTCCAGATCTCGGCTCAGAGATCACCTGTTAGGGGATGTTCCCTGATCATGCTTTCTGAAATAGCATACTACCTTCTGCCCCTGTCCAGTTACTCTCTGTCACATCACCCTGTTCATTTCCTTTATAACCCTTATCAGGATCTGGAATTACCTCATCACCCTGTTGATTTCCTGCATAACCCTTATCAGGATCTGAAATTACCTTGTTTACTTATTTATTACCCAAGGACCCCATTCCCCAGCCACGGGTTCTCTCTTGTTCACCATAGTGTCTCTAGTGTTTAGCACTGGCCCTGTCATAGAGTAAGGGAGTAGTAAATTTTGTCCATTAAAGGAATGAATGAACCAATGAATGACCATGCCAAAGTCACACATGCCTGAGAAGAGGTTCAAAAAGGATGGAGAGAGTAGGCTTATGCCCTGCCTCTGACCGCCCTTCTTGGTTTTCTAGTATGAGCAGTTTGAGAGCACAATAGGCTTTAAGCTCCCAAATCACCGGTCAGCCAAGAGACTGTGGAAGGTCTGCATTGAACATCACACATTCTTCCGGTAAGCCTAACCCAAGGATGGGGTAACGGGAGATGAGCCAGAAGCTTTGTGTTTACGTGCATGTATGCATGCTTGCCTCTGTGTTATATGTGTGTTTTGTAAAGGGAAAGAACAGTAGGAGGAGCTAATGGGGACTATAAGAAAGGCCACCCTAACTCTTCCCTTTCCCCAACTTTCTCCCCTTCTGGCCCACTTAGTAGTATTTTTTAAAAATAACATTTTATTGTGTTTTCATTGAAGGTGTACATAGCAGTTTAGGTTCCCATTCAACAATTTCTGCACAAGTTGTTCAGTAACATTGGTTACATTCTTTACAATGTGTCACATTCTAATTATTTCCAGTCTGGTTGTTCCATTTCTATTAATCTAGTTTCCCTGCCCCCTTACATTCTTATGTTTGTTTTAAAATAATTGCTACCCACTTGGTCTCATGCAGGTGATTTTTTTAAGTGATCACAGTACTTACAGGAGATATTCAGTCTTTTTTGAACCAATTTTTTATTTAGCTACAAAGTGACCTTAGGGGTAGTTTCAGTTCAAGATTTGAAGAGTCAGGGCAGTAGCCTTAGGGGTTACTTCAGTCTCAACCAGTGTAGTAGGTCTGTTTATTTTCTTTCATTTTTTTTGAATTTGAAGTTTTGTTCCATAGTTTTCTCCTATTCTATCAGGGTCCATATCTATTGTGGCCCTGGTCAGTAATGGTAGCCAAACACCTTGTAGTTCTTCTATTCTCACCTGGGCCACTTTGACTTATCATAGTTGGTGGGCAATGGGATGAAAGACCAGCTGTAGTCTAGCCTTGGACCTAGCAGTGCAGATCTGATCCTCTCCGCTCACCTCCATCTCTCCAATACAGGCTCGTGTCCCCTGAACCCCCACCTAAAGGCTTCCTGGTGATGGGCTCCAAGTTCCGGTATAGTGGGAGGACCCAGGCACAGACCCGGCAGGCCAGCGCCCTCATTGACCGGCCTGCACCCTTCTTTGAGCGTTCTTCCAGCAAACGGTACACCATGTCTCGCAGCCTTGATGGAGGTATGCCCCAAATTAGAAGTGGGAAAACAAGAATGGTGTTTAGAAAGGAATGGGGAGCCCATACTCCAGTCTGAAGAATGATGAGCAGTGAAAGTATCACAGGTTTATTTGCACTGAACATGGCAGCCAGAGAGCACTGTCTCATCTAGGTAGTTCTTAGTAGTTTAAGCCCTAGTTACAGCATCACTCCCACTCAGGATCGCACTGCCATTCAGGGCATTCTCTGTACTTACCGGTTCCTGAGTGTTGACCTATTGTGGTTCCAGGTTCAGCCATATGGTCTCCTGGGCTTCCTTCCCAAGGAGCTAAGCAATTCCCAGATTGTCATCCCACCTGGAGAATGGTTCATTGTGATAGCAGTGGAGCCAGCAACACCTTATCTGATTGGAGGCTGAGAGGCCTTCTTCCTGGTTATTCTTCTGGTCACATTGGCTCTGGGCTGACTGACATCTAGCCACATGGAGCTCTCCACAGCCCCTGTTTCTGTTGGACTGACGATGCCCTTAATGTCAATGACAACTGGCCCCACATTGTCCTGTATCAAGTAGACCAGAGCTTCTCAAAGTGTGGTCCACAGACTGCCTGCATCAGAGTGTTAAACATGATGCTTCCCAGGTCTCACCCTAGAAACAAAACAAAAAATCCATTGCCGTCAAGTTGACTTGTAGCAACCCAATAAGACAAAGTAGAACTGCCCCATAGGGTTTCCAAGGCTGTAAATCTTTATAGAAGCAGACTGCCACATCTTTCTCCCATGAAGAAGGTGGTGAGTTTGGACTGAAGAACTTCAGGTTAGCAGCCAAGCACTTTAACTACTGCATTACTAGGGCTCCTTAGCCTTACCCTAGACCTACTAAATTGCACTCCTCTGGGCATGGAACTCACCAGGATATGCAAACTAGAGTTTGTAGGAAATTCAGGGCAATGGGGAGATTCAGAGTTAGGTAGATCTGAGTTGAAATCTCAGCCTTGACACTTGCCAGCTGCTCTGTGGACACAAGAAACAGTCAGTAAGTATCTCAATGAATTGATGGGTGACCTTGAACAACTTACTAACTTCCTTGAACCTATTTTCTTGTCTATAAAATAAATAATACTTACATTTCTGTGTTATGGGAAGAACAAAATGAGATAACATCTATATCCAAAATAGTTCCTAGCACATTGTAAGCCCTCAATAAACTGTACCCACCACTATTGCTTTTAGGTTTGAAGAATATGGCTGAAAGGATGGGAGGTGGGGACTTGAGTGAGGAAACAGTGGACACTCCCAGAACACATTGGGGCAGGCCTCTGGGTGTGTTAGTTCAACTGAACAAACATGTATCAGACTCTGTGCTAGGTGCTGAGTATTTAGAGTGAGCATGGCCCTGTAAAAATAGCATGGTGGAGGCATCCGACCTCCTTTGACTTCACAAAGGGGAAGAAGAGACAAGATCAACAGCCTAAGGCTGATTCCTTTGAGGCAGAGGTCAGAAATACCTCCACCTTCCAACCTTTTTACCAGTTCTGACGCCAGCCATCCCTCCTAGGCAATCCCTACTCCTCTACTGGGTTTATTAATTTCATTGCAATGGCCACACAAAACTCACAGACCATAATCACAGTTATGGAATTCATTAGGGAAGTAACAGGAAAGACTCAGGGTACTGTTCTTCGATTAGGACAGCCTCTTTTCAGCCCTGCCCACAGGCAGGCCTCTCCCTGGACCTTGGGCCTCTTGGGCCCTTCAGCCTGGCCTCTGCCCTGCTCATGCAAGTGCTGCAAAGCTCTTTAGCTATGCCAGTAAGTGCCCAGGGGTCCCTGACTCTGCAAGTAAACCTCAGTCCAAAGGCACTCAGCTCTCTCGCTCCATGAGTCAGCAAGCCTGTCTTTGCCGACAAGTGCCTAGAGGCACCCCACTCCATGAGCAAGCCTCCTTCCTGACGGCACTCAGTTGTCTCGCTCCGTATATAACTGCCTTACTCTGTGGGCTGGGAAGCCCACTGCGCTGTCTTCTTTCCATCTTCTGGTTCTGCTGATGCTCTTTCTCTACTACTGCTTCTAGCCATCTTGCCCTGTCTCGTGTTGCAGCTCTGTCTCTGTTTTCTGGGTCTAGGAGGTTCCTCAGTGCAGGGACCCCAAGTCCAAAGGATGCACTTTGCTCCCACTTCTTACTGGTAATGGTCCACCCTTTCTGCCTCTGGGATGACTCATTTTAAACCTGGTGGCATGGCAAAACTGACTAATCCCCTCACTGGGGTTCCATACATCTTATTTTGCATAACCTCGCCTCCACAAGGGTGCCATGCCCCCCCCCTTTTTTTTTTTTTGCTTATTGGCAAGCTATCTAATCCCCTTTGTGGGCTACAAGTACCTAATTGGCATAGTCCCAACCAGTTGTTGGGTGGGAATTAAAAGACCATAGTGAGAAAGGCCATATAAATAAAAGCAATTCATTGCACCACAGGCCATTTCCACTGAGGAACTTATAGAATAGTAGATATGTGAACATTTATTGTGCTTCATGCAATAGAAGAAGCACATACAGAATACAGAATAGCCCTGAGTAGGGCTAGTAATTCTCATTTTAGCCATCAACACAGAGTGGTAGTATATGAATCAAATCATATGATAAATGGCTACTTTGAAATGTAAATATATATCAGTGTTGTTGTTGTTATGTGCTGTCAAGTCAGACCCACTCATAGCGACCCCTCCTTGGTTTTCTGAGGCGATATCACTACAGCAGTAGATTGCCCAGCCTTCCTGCCAAGGAGTGGCTGGTGGGTTTGAACCACCAGACTTCTGGTTAGCAGTCAAGTACCTTAGGCACTATGCTACCAGAGCTCCTCCTATATATGAATAGAAAGGATCATATATGAATAGAAAGGATAATTATTCTCTTTTTTTAGAAGTGGGCCAACCTTAAGGATAATCTGTGCTCTCGTCCTTTTAATTCAGTGTTTTCTAGCTATTTTTTCTATTGAGACACATTCTGTGGGTATAGTCCTTTGCTCCAGTGCTTGGTATGAGTCTACAGTTCCCCCCCTTTCTTTCCCATTCAGAAAAGTATTTTAGGATGCCATGAGTGAGCAAGATATTTTTGCAGGGATCCCCTTGTATCATTCTAATTTATAAACAAGATAAATCAAACCTCAGGACTTTGGCTTTTAGTGAAAGCCAATCTCACGAAACCTGTATATTGCTAAATAATGGCCGGGTAGTATACAGCCACAGCAACAAAAATAGCAACATTTGTGAGCCAACGTTGACTAAAGGCTCACTCTGTGCCAACCAGTCTTCTGAATATTTACACACATTGGTTTATTGGTTCCTCACCTCAGCTTTCTGAAGTAAGTGCTATTTATAGATGAGGAAACTGAGGCCCAGAGAGATTGTGTAACTCACTCAAGGTCACGTAGCCAAGAAGAGGTGGATTTGAGATTTGAACTTAGGCTCTAGTGCTTTAGAAATCCAGACAGGACCCTGGCCTGGGAGTTAAGTCCACTACTCACTGACTGCATGTCCTGGGAAGGCTGCTTTACTCCTCTGGCCACACACAGACTTGTATCTGACAGTGGGTTGGGGGCTTAAGAGTCTGCTCCATCCCAGACATGGTTGGGGTGGGTAGCTGGGCTGGCTCCTTAATGATGCCCCTGGAAGAGGTCTCACGTGGCCTCCTGGCCATCTCCGCCCACTTCAGCAGAATTTTCCCGCCCAGCCTCCGTCAGTGAGAACCATGACACAGGACCTGAAGGTGACAAGAGGGAGGAGGATGGTGAGTCTGGTGGGCGGCGGTCAGAGGCCGATGAAGGAGAGGTCAGGACGCCCACCAAGATCAAGGAACTAAAGGTAGGAGCCTGGCTTTCTCTTCCCCTTTGACCTAGGGGTCCGGAGGCTGAGCCTAGGTTTAACTTTGGCCTTGGCCTTCAGGTGCCCCAGCTATGGCAGAGCACCCTTGGGCCATGCTCAATACCTGGACAGCCTGGGGTGGGTGTGGAGGTGGTAGGCATGCTACCTACCCAGCCCCCTTCTATACTCTTTGCCCTGCTTTCCCTAGAGGGGAGCCCTGTCCCCTGGAGGACTCAGGTTCCCTCTTCCTCACTCCTTATTTGTCACTTTAACTGTGATCTGGATCTAGATTCTTTCCCAGATGATGACCTAGTCAGGTGTCACTGCAGTCCCTTACAAGTGTGAGGGACAAGTGTATCCCCATCCTGCTGTCCCACCCCAACTCTCCACATACGTACATACACACCCCCACTCCCAATATACATGTCTACACTCTCAGGCAGGCATGAGCAACCTCAGATTCACATGCATTTACTCAGACATATGTACTTTCTCACTTTAAGGTTTATGCACATAGACATACAAACAGCATATGCACAGAGGCATATGCACACATAGGCCAGGGATGCCTTCCTCTTGGTGAAGTGGTTAAGCAATTTTTTCCCACAGCTCATGAATACACATGCATGCTGACAGTAAGAAACATGCATACCTGGACATACTTGGGTCCCAACTCTCCTCATTTGGCATCTAGTCCCTCAGCCCCTCCTTTGCCTTCCTGGGCCCAGCTCCCTGCTTCATGGCCTACACCGTCTTCTGACTGCCTCACTGCCCTGCTGATGGCTCAGCCAGCTTCTCTGGCCTCTGTTGCTTGGGTGGGAGTTCTCCGGGCTCTTTTTTGGACCAGACCATTCGTGGGATCTCTAATCCATTTGCTCTACTGACCCTGCTGGTTCCTTTCCCTCCTACCACATCCCGCTAGCCGGAGCAGGAAACCACGCCGAGACACAAGCAGGAGGTACTGCATGGGACCTGTCCCTACCTACCCAGCCATCCACATCCTTGTCTCATTTGTCACCATCCCACACTCATCTCCCCTGCACCATCTCACGTCCCATTGTCAGCTTCATCTCCATGCCCCCCACCATCCCGCTCCTACCTCCCTTGTCAAGCTCATCTCTCCTACTCCCTGCTCAGACTCCACCACCCAACCCACCGTCTCTCCCTGCCTTCTAAGTCATACCCAGCTTTGCACTCTGTCTGTCCAGACCACCTGGTACTCCCTGCTTGCTTCTCACTTGCTGACCATCCCACCTATGTGCGCCAGCTCTTCCAGGCCATGCCATGCTTTCATTTAACTCATTTCCCCCATTCCCCTACCACAAACCGTTCCTTAGACTCATCTCCTTCCTGACAGTACTGTTTGATTGTGCCCTCCATCTTTTCTGTGTACCATGTCCTTGCCTCAAGCTTCTCTTTGTGGGAGTGGGGCTGAGGTGGGAAGGGGGCACCTTCTGAGCACATGTGCACCTTCTCAGACTCCAGTTCCGCCTCCTTGGGGCTGGGGCCTACTGCTGCTCCAGCACTGACTGTCAAGGAAAATCTTTTCCTCTTCCTCTTTCCATTTCTTGCTTTCCTCAGCTTACTCCTCTGTGTTAACCACTTGTCCACACCTTTCTCACAGCCTCCACCTCTTAATTTGCACCGAACTACAGAGAAATGTGTTTTGTTGGGCTACGTAGGAAAAGGGGCAGAGGCAGGGGCACAAGGGAGGGGCCTGACCTGGGGTCACGTGATCTGGGTTTTAACCCCAGTTCTGCTACAGACTCTTTGAGGGCCTTGGACAAGTCCCCTCCGGTACTAGGCCTCCATCTGTACAGCCAGGCATTCAGACTAGGTTTCCCCAAGGTCCATAAAGGATTCCACTTTTCCCTCCAGTCTTCAAGAGCACTGTGTGTTCACAGAGCTAGCACAGCAGGCTCAGGGTGGAGATCGCAAGCTACATCTTAGGTTGAGACTCAGTATCCGTTACAGCTCAAACCCACCCCGTCATACCAATTCCATTAGATTGAACTTTCCAGACAGGCATTGTCCTGAAAGCAGCTTAGCTCAGAAAAGAATGCTGAAGGTACAGACACATGTTTAGAAGGAAAGCAGAAGCCTCAGTGTGATTGGCTTCCTCCCTGAGGTAGCTTGGGGGTCACCCATAGTGAATCCTTAGATACCAGAGATGAGCCCAAGGAAAGATTCTAGCCTTGTCTGAGGGTAACCTTACTTTCCGGGTGGTTCTTCTAGAATCACCGGATCTGACTTTAATAAGCTGTAATTGTCTTATTTCTTGAATATTTCTTATTTCCTAAATTGAGTTGACATGATTCCTCAAGCAGCCTTGCAGGTATAGATCCCTGGGTTGCCAGCCCACCTGCTCTGTCCCCAGAAATAGACAGAGAATCTTTGGCATGTCTTCTGGCTCTTGCACAAAGGCTGGTGCTCACAGGACAGATCACTCTGTCATGTGCTATAGGCTTGAACTCAGATTTGTGATTTACTGGGGAACACACCTATGACTCCAGCTCTACCTGGCTCAGTTCTTGATCTTAGCCTCAGGACTTTTATTCTTCTTGGTCTCTACTTTTGCCAATTTTCCTGGCTGTTCCCCAGAATCCTAGGTTTTCTGTCTCTCAGGTCATACCTCACCCTCTCTGCTGCTGAGGAGTCAATAGAAAGTCTCTAGAAAATCCTAGGTGGTTGGAGCAGGGAGGGCTCACAGCAGAAAGGCAGAATGCAATTCTTTCCTGATCTTTGTTCCTTGGTGTGGGCACAGGAGCCATTTTTATGGATGCCCCTAGATGACTGGGATGAGGAATATCTTCACTCCAAGTCTCCACAGGACCTGAGCAATTGCATGTGTTGGGTTAGGAGAGGACCAGACTGGGAACTTGGCTAAGCACAGGGATCCAAATCTAGGCCAGAAGGTAGGGACCAGGATCCAGGAGGCCAGGGAGGGAGCCAGAACAGCCCAGTGAACAGGGCTGGTGAGTCCTCACTCCCACAGATGGCTGCCTTCTCTGCGCCTTGGTTTGTAACAGAGGGAAATCAGAGGCATAGAAGTGAGCTCCGTCCCTGACTAAGTCTGGAATCACAACACCAAAGGTAATTCACCCAGACCTGTGGGATGTGGCTTGAGTTGAGTGTTCAAAGACCAGGGTAGAAGAGAAAGTGGCTGCCTGACTAGAAGTCTCTTCTTTTTAATCTTGAGTGCTGTGTGCCTTGGTATGTGCACCTGCTCTACCTGGCTTACGGGGCTGTTGTCAGGGTCAGGGGTCATGGGTGGGAATCACATCGCTGATGTAAGGGCAGTGATGGCAGCTGTTACCACTGTCACCATCCCCTGCATCCCCTGAGCAGAGCTGTTCCTCTGACATTGGCTGCCCTCTCCATCCATCCCCAGTTCTTAGACAAGCCAGAGGACGTCTTGCTGAAGCACCAGGCCAGCATCAATGAGCTCAAGAGGACCCTAAAGGAGCCCAACAGCAAACTAATCCACCGGGATCGAGACTGGGAGCGGGAGCGCAGGCTGCCCTCCTCGCCCGCCTCTCCCTCCCCCAAGGGAACTCCTGAGAAAGCCAACGAGGTAAGTCTCACCCTAAACCCCTCAGTAGGGGCTGGGGGGAACGAGTTATTGGGAAAGTTGTTGCTATGTACTGACTTATACTCAGCCTGCATACTTATATGTGCCCCCAACCCACCCATTGCTGCATGATGGGTTGGTTGGGGTAGGGTGACAGCTTAGGCTAAATATGACAAATTCCCTAAATCTTGTAATCCTGGACCCCAAGGACCACCTTGAAGCATGAAAAACTGAAAAGACTTGGAGTGGCTTGGCATACTCCCCTTCCATCAGCCACAGAACACGGGGAACAGGTGCTTATTAGAAATGCAGATTCCTGGGCCCCACATCAGATCTACTGAATCAGCATATTTAGAGGTACAGCCCTGGAACCAGCATTTTAAACAAGTGTCCCAGGCATTCCTTATGCATACTAAACTTTGAGAGCCCCTGTAGTTCTGTTCAGTAACCAGACTCTGTCATGCTATTGGGGGTACATACCCTGCTGGAAAGGACCCCTGGTGGTGCAGTGTTTTAGATGCTCAGCTGCTAACTGAAATGTTGGTATGAACCCACCAGCTGCCCTGTGGGAGGAAGACGTGGCAGTCTACTTCCATAAAGATTATAGCCTTGGAAACTCAGTGGGGCAGCTCTACTCTGTCCTATAGGGTCACGGTGAATTGGAATCAACTCAGCAGTAGTGGGTTTTTACCCTCCTAGAAGGATCCTCAGAGCTGACTAGAGGAAAACAAATCCTCCACAAATATCAGGTCTGTTCCTGATGCTTCAGAAAAGGATCCCACATGACCCATCTTTTAGTGTAGAAAGCATAGGAATTTTTCTCAGTTGAAAAAAGAAAAATAAGATTTTTGAGAATTCTTGTATTTATAATTGAGGATTCTTTTATTTATAATCTCAAGCTATTTTTTTAGTGCTTGCTAAATCTTGTCAATATTTACCCGAGTTTCTACTTAGGCTTTTTTTTTTTTTTTTTTCCTTTAGAATTTCTGCTTACTGATCTCAAACCTGAGTTGTTGTCTAGGCTTACCCTGCCTGGGTTTGAATTCTAGTTCCTTGGCCTGCTGGCTAAGGACTCAGGACTTGTTACTTAACCTCTGGGAGCTTCCATCAAATGGAAATAATAAAAGTACCTTCTTCATAGGGATGCTGTGAGGATCAAATAAGATACAGCATGAAGAGGGACCAGCAGAGTTCCTGGCATGTGATCAATGCTTAATATGGTTACTTTCTATTTCATTTTGAGAGTCCTGGCCTCTTTCACAAGGGTTACCTTCAAATCAGAATATTTTTTAACACTGGAAGGACCCTTAGAGTGTTGGTTCAAGGTTGTCATTCTACCCAGGCCCAGAGAGGGGATGGGACTTCTAGAAGAGGGGCCAGGCCTGCTTTTCTTGTGTCCCAGGACATTATATTTGCCAGTCAGTCATTAAGTCACAGCCGCCTAGTAGCAAGACCAAATCGTGTGAAGACCAATTGTAGAGTCAACTGTGTGTGTGTCCCCCTCTAGTACTTTGAAAATTGGTGATACATCCATGATCTAATAAGCAGAACGTTTGATTGAATCAGCACTTCCCAGCCTGGCCATGCCAGATAACAGAGGGCTTTGCCCAGTGAGAGATGTCAGCTCAGAGAGAGCTACTCTGGTAGCTTCCTGGCTGGTGATTAACAAAATTGGGGATGCTTTGGGGAGTATTGGTATCCTGTATGGCTAGTGCCATGGAGGGGGGACAAATCTGCATCTACTAAGGGCCTCTGTGATTACCTCTCACACAACCAAGACTGGGGCTGTAAGCTTGTTAAGACCCCACCCACTTCATGCCTGGAGGCTTGGCCAGAGCAGTGCCTCTAATCATTCTTGAGGTGTGCTGGGCCTTGGGCTGGCTGTGGGTGAGGTGGGATGCAGGAGCTACTGAAAAGATTGGACTTCAGAAAAGAAGAGAAGGAAGTTCTGGAGCCTTGGAGTGCCTCTCTGGTACACAGCTGCCTGGTTGGGAGTTGTGCCCCTCCTGCTGGTGATAACTGGAACTGCTAAAAGATGGGTCTTATAAACAGAGTCTGTCCTGTCCCTCTCCCCATCCAAGAAGTGTAGTCCACTGATGAAAAGGAGTATGTTCCAGGAGTTCACATTGGAGTGATGGACCATTTAGAGCTGGCTTGCATGACCCACTGGCATTTAGGGGCCCTTGAAGATTTGGGAGATAGGAGGAGCCATGGACAAGGACTGGACTAAGTCCTTAGGTGAGTGACTTTGCCTCTCTGAGCCTCACTGCCTGGTCCATCTTTAGGGGGACCAAGACTGCTACTCCATAGGATTATTGGTAAGATTGAATGAAATAATGGATGTAAAAGTACTTTATAAACTAGAAAGTGCTGGACAGTCATGGGGTCATTGCTGATGGTGACTAGCATCCCTGATCCAAATATGGGCTTTGTAGGGGACATCCTGCAGGGATCTGGCAGCCAGAGTTCCTAGTAGCTTCCCCACACATTGTTGGGCCCCATCTGGGCCAAGGAGAGCACATTGGGAACTTAAACCAAAATAAGGAACCCCAGACTATAAAGAACTGTACCCAATTGCTGAACCTGAGTTTCAGTTTCAAAGAAAGCTTTTTAAAAAGGCTGTGACCTAAACTGCAGGACTGAACCATAGCCAAAACCAAAGTCACTCAGGGAAGACTTGGAATCAGAGTCCAAATCATATGGCTCCAAATACTCTTGAATGAGAGTGGGCAAGGCGATGAGGAAAGGGCCTAAAGCCACAGCACTGGCTGGCAGCTGACTGTGGTCCTCTCTTCAGTGGCTCAGAAGGGCAGTCTCTCTCCATTTTGTCCCCAAGGCAAAATGACCTAATCCACAAACCCTAAGGATGTGGGATTTAACAACCTGGCCTGTTTACAGACTCTCTGTGTATGTATTTCTCTCCTGCTTTTTCTCTCTCCCTATCTTCCTGCCTCTGTCTCTCTCTCTCTCTCTCTGTCTCCTTCCCTTCCTCCCTCTTTTCCTTTCCTCTGGCCCTGGGCCTCCCCTGCAGTCCCAGAGGACCCAGGACACCTCTCAGCAGGACTTGGTACCTGAGCCTGGAACAGCCATAGGCTTGGAAGTGTTCACTCAGAAAAGCCTTGCAGCGTCTCCTGAGGTTACTGTCTGTCTTCACCTTCCTGTGCTCCTTCCCTCCTGGGACCTCCTGCCCACCCACAACCACCCTCTAAGTCTTAAGAATACCCTTCCTCTGGGGTGAGGGGAGCAGACCAGATTCTGCCATGCAAGTGGGAGCACTGGGTAGCCCATGTTGTCCCTAGGCTGTGACAACTGAGCATCTCCATCCCAGGGATCCATAAAGGGCCAACCCCTCCTTCAACCATTGTTTTGCTGAAGGGATAGGACAGAAATCATCCTGGGAAGACAGAAAAGCCTGTGTTAATCCTGGCTGCAAAGGAGAAGACAGAAATTACCACTCTGTTAGGCCTGGTGAGGCAGGCAACATTGGTCTGACTCTAACGTCTCAGCTCTGGGATCAGGGGTCTTCCCTGAGGTCTTGTCTCTGCTCAGAAACTTGAATAAGATCTAGCAGTGTCTGATTAGGGGATGACATCCCATCCATCCCCTGCCTTCATTCCCTCTGAACTCTTCCTGGCTAGGATCTGTCAGGATCTCCAGGTCTGCCCAGTGAGCATCCTTCAGGTTGTAGAGATGTTGGGCAGGCAAATGTCCTAAATGAGGACAACTTTGCTTCTGTGCCTAGAATGGGAGTAGGTCAAGGGTTCTTGATACTTCCTGTGCCCCTTGCATGGATGCAGAACTCAGAATCCAGGCCTAGGCATCAGAGGGCTATATCCTCTATACTGGGACCTCATAGACTTTAGGATTGGAAGGTACTGGCCGATCATCTGGTTGAACCTTCTTCTCCCTGATACTTGACCCTCCTCTGTTGGCAGAGTATGTGTGAGGGCATATGCCTTTCTGAGTTCCCAGAGAAAGAATTTTGTAGCTGTTGAAAATGTACTGGACTGTAAAATAGAAATGAGTCAGCTACATAAATGGAAAACATAAATCACAGTTCTAGGCCGTGAATTTTTCCTCAATGCAAAAATAAAAACAAAACTACCAGCACTCTCTCTTGAGAGAAGTTGGACAGGAGTAGTTGACAACACCTCAAGGTTAGGGAAATAATGAGGCCCTGGAGCACAGAGATGTTTGTAGAACCAAGGACAGGTGCCCACACTTGGGCGGGAACCCCCAACAGGTGTCCTTTATCAGCATCTCTATAAATTATCTATCTAGCCTCTTCCACAGAGGGAGCTCTCACTGTCCTTCAAGGCAGCCCATTCTGTCTTCAATCGTCAACTGACATGTTTTCTATTGAGTTGAAATCTGCTGTTCTGAATCACCTACCTGTGGGCCTAGTCCTGCTGTCTGGCACCTGGAGATATGCTCTGCATCCTCCTCCCAGGACAGACCTTCAGAGATTTGAACATTCCCCCCTCCTAATCTTCTCTTCTCGAAGCTGAGCCCTTTCAGTTCCTTCAACAGCTGCTCCCAAGACATGGTTTCTAGAGGGCTCCTTGTTCTGGAACCCCTCAGACTGTGACCCAGAGTTCCAGGTGGGGCCTGAGCTGCCTGGAGCGGAACCATTTGGCGGGAGGTTTTCTTCTGTCTTGGCTGCGTGGGAACAGAACAGCTCTACTTCTGCTCCCAGCATGTTTCATAGCTTCTCTTTGGCTGCATGCCCCCAGCTGTAGCAGGGGGTGCTCTGAGCAAGGATCACTGGAAATAATGGCGCAGAGCTGACAAAATCTGGGGCTACCCTGACATTATCCCATCCTGTGAATCAGGTCAGAACGACTTTGAGACCAATCTCCAGGACCACAGAGGGCTCCACCAGTGCCCTGGGGCCAGAGAAATATTTCTTCTTTGTTCAGTCTTTTTTCTCTCACGATCCTATATGTCTGCTTTCACTTATTAGAAACAGAGCCCCTTCTCCTTCCCCAGCTGCTCACTCTGTG